ATTGTCAAATAACATCAAACAAAGTAACAGTCTCGAAAAGAACCCTAATTCGCAATGTGGAGTTCATGTATAACCAGATGATACAACAAATGAAGGATGATTTTGTAAAACTAATTACCTATGTTTGTATAACTGTAGACTGTCGGAGTATATTTCATAGGTATATTTGATTATAAATTAAATTATATTATTATGCACATAATATTAAAATGTAATGATTTTAATATTATTATTTTTAATTATTTTCTGGTCATAGATCATATATTGGCTTTACGGTGCATTGGATGGATTGAGCCTAGCACACTGGAGCGCAATTCTAAAGCGCTTGCATGCAGACGCATGATCGGACATCATTCATATGATAACATTGCTGAATGCATTGATAAGATGCTTATTGAATTTAATATTCAAAATAAAACAACCCTTGTTGTTACAGACAATGCTGCGAATTTCGTAAAGGCTTTTAGGTATGTATATTGTTATTTCTCTAGACTTTTTGCATTTCAAATAAAGTACCTACATAACACATAAAGGTTATAATATTAAATATATCACAACAGTTCAAAATGTATTATTTGAGTCAGTTGGAATTAATTAATATTTTAAATAAAATAATATTGTTGTTTTATATTGGACATTCACATTATATTTGTGTATTTGTGTATAAAGTACATTACTACACTTATAAACTAATAGAATAATGTATTCTAAATAGTTTCAACTATAGATTAAAATAATTAATTGTTTATGTAAATTTATACTTTAAAACAGAGGTTCCCAAACTGTGGGTCGAGATAATATTTTTAGTGGGTCACACTATATTTTTAAATAATACATACTTTTCATTGATGTTCAAAGTTCAAATTCAGTATTATCGTCAATCGTTATCTACGAGTTTACAGCGACCGTGTCAAAACTACGCAACCTGATTAATAGTTATTGAAAAGATAACGATTTATCTGAAACAAATTAGTAGGTACCTAATGTCGTATATTGTAGACACTAGACAGTCGTCAAAATATTATTTCATATATGTAATAGAGGTGGGAACTTTTTTATTGTAAACCATGCCCATGCAACTCCCCAACCAATTAACACAAATCAGTAGTGCTCTTATTGTCGGGTCCCGCTCTGGTGGCGCGCTCTAGTAGTAATTTGTATTTTAATAATTTATTACTCATTCAAAGATTAAGAGGACGCTACACCCGCATGTGTTGTCTCCGTCTTACAAATGTACAACATAGCAAAAACTGTTTTGCACGGGAAAGAACCGAGAAGGCTACAGTCATAACTAAGAAACAAAATTTTCACCACACAAAAAGAAGAACTTTGGCTGTGCAACGTCGTTTTTATTTTTTTGATATCATTTATATGAAAAAAGTTTTTTAAGTTTGAAAAACACAAACAATAATGGTTTTTGAAACAGTAAGAACTTTTTTCATATAAATGATATCAAAAAAATAAAAACGACGTTGCACAGCCAAAGTTCTCCTTTTTGTGTGGTGAAAATTTCGTTTCTTAGTTATGACTGTAGCCTTCTCGGTTCTTTCCCGCGCAAAAGAGTTTTTGCTATGTTGTACATTTGTAAGACGGAGACAACACATGCGGGTGTAGCGTCCTCTTAAACAAATAGATAAACATATTTACTGTTATAAATTTATAATAGTAATTATTATTTAAAAGTATAAAAATATAAAAACACCTAAAAATTAATATTATACTAAATACGTTTATAGGCTATAAAAGAATAAAACATTTCAATCTAAAAATTAAAAAATATTATGAAATGATTAAAAATACCAAGTATCAACATTTAAAATAACCAGAATCCAGATCTTAAAGGTAAACTTTAATAAGTATTATTATTATTATTTTTTACAAAATTTAGATAGTTTTTTTTTTTTTAGTTTTCTTTAGATTGTTCTTGATTTGACTGTCTTGTGTACTGTCGCATTCGCATACTTATGTAGTATTTTATTGAATAAGAAATGATGTAATCTTTATGTTCTGCACATGGGAAAGTGAACGATTCTAATTTGGTGATTATTCCTTCTACAATATCATCAAATACAGTTACACTTTCACAATACTTTTGAAACTCATCTTCTATTGCGCTCATCAAATTATATAGGTAAGTATTTGGGTGTTTAAACCATCCTTTACTTTTAATGTTTGTTAAATCAGCCTCAGATCTGTAATTCTGTTCAGATGTAAGACATGATTTACATTTTGAGCAAGTTGTCCTTTTCATTATTTGATGACTTAAATACCCTACTATATAATATTTTAAACAATCAACAATAGGAGCTAATGAATAATCATGTTCAAATACATCAGTGAACTCCCATTCCCCTTGATTTATAATAGTATCAAGTTTTGTTTTAAGTTTTTCCAAAACTGATAAATCTTTACTAGCATATATGCTCTTTATGTCAGATATTTTAATCAGATTTTCTCCAATAGTATCTTTTTCTACTGTACAGTTTCCATATTTTGGAGGCTTCAATATGGAGTATGCTGATAATAACTTATATACTTGTAAGAATGTTGGTGTTGAAGGGTGGTCATTTGCACCAGAAGCCATACGGGTCGTGCCAAAAAACCGCTAAAATATTTTTTATATTCAATAATTAATTATAATAATTAATCATTCAAAGTTTTTAAAATATTAATATACCTCAAGACCATCTTGATTTATTTTTCCTGAAAGAAGATATTGGAAATCATACTTTTCATTCATATAATCAGCTAGCTGTATACATGATATTAAGGTAACTCGCAGCCCTTCTGCCGTACTTGTAGTTAAAAATTCATTGGCGCTTATTTTTCCAGATATCAAATTATTTCCCCACTTGTTTAACCAGTCTAACGAACGTTGGAGTACCTAGGTAATAATATTTTACTGTAATTTGCAATTAATTATGACATGATTATTATTATTTAATTACATAGTCAAATACTTACATTGCTCACATTGATGCACACAAATATTATTGTATTGATTCCAGAAAATAAAAATAAATTAGTTAATATACAAAAGCACATAAAGCAAAGCATCAATTTAGATAGATAGGCAATAATAATTTACTGTAAGTTTAAATTACTCATAACATGATTATTATTATTTAATTACATAGTCAACTACTTACATTACTCACATTGATGCACAGATACGTATGTAGTGGTAATTATTGTATTGATCCCAAAAAATAATAAATAAATTAGTTTGATTCACAAAAACACATAAAGCAAAACATCAATTTAGATAGATATACAAATAACTAACCTCATAGTTTTTTGAATTTGAATAAATACCTTGGCTAGGAATTTTTTCGTTTAGTGCGTCAAACAAATCATTAAATACTAAACAAAACTTTATTGTTGAATCACAGTTTTGAAGACCTTGAATTTGGTGTTTTTTATAAAATAATAATCCATCAGCCACTGACTTACAGAGAATCTATGGAATAATAATTATTAATTTACATTTAAAATAAATAAATATGATTTGTCTAGTTAGTAAAGAATCTGGATTATAGAGTGGCAAAAAAGCAAAAGTTTGAAGTGACCATTTCACTTTAAAAAGACATTTTTTTTTTAATTTACTTGTGTAACTAATCTAACTCGCATTTTCAGGCAAGTATTGAGTAGTTTGACATGATTGTCAGTTATTTTTGGGCAAACTTTTAACTGACACAATTGATCTTATCTTGCTCATGAAGAATTTCAAAATGTTCCCATTTAACAGCATTTTCATTAGGATCAATCTATAATTTTAAGTAAGGGGGTTAAAGTATTAAATTATTTTAAATTATTTTAAGGTAATACTTCTTACTTTTAAGACTCTATTGTTATATAATCTGGAACTTTTCTACTTTACCGGACACCCTTTTTTTTTTGCGATTTTTTTTGGGGGACTTTGTCATATTTTTAACGAAAAAAATTATGGTGAAATCAGAATTTGGGGCTCGGACTTAGTTTCGAAGTTATCGGCGAATGAAGTTGGCTATTTTAAGTTCACTGTGCCTATCATGAAGATTGATGTTTTTGTTTTTGAAACTTGTGCTTTTATGGAGATTACGGTGCGAGGTTATCCACTTTATCAAGTAATTAAAAACGAAAATATCCCTCGATCTCCTATCCAAATCCACCTAAGTTAAATTAAAAATGTATATTTGTTGCACCGAAAACTTAAATAATGATATAAATACCTCATTGTATTAGGTTTATTGTTCCATTAAAACACCATACAATTGTAGATTAAGTATATCTAACGTATTATACATTTTCTATAACAAAAAATCACTGTGTTTTTCTGTGCGTACGCGAAAACATCTACGACACTACTTTCCTATACGATGGAGAATCATATTAATTTATTCGATTTATTTATGATGTCAAACCTAAACGACGGTTTAGGTTTGATTAATAAATTACAACTGTTAGGTGCATTGCCCAAAAGTGTATCCGTGGACATCAAATGAAGTTGGTGAAAGACCAATCTTCACTCGACAAGTTTAAATGGATTTGTCGTGAAAAAATTAATTCTTAAAAGGGGAAAAAAACTCTGCAATTATAGGTACCTAAGTACTACTAAAATGTAATAAATAACTAAAAAAAACCGGGGAAGTCGATTGTTTTAATAGATTAATTGATCAGTTCTTCACTATTTTTAAAATCGATCAATCGAGTGCTTGTTGATGAAAATCTTCATTTATCAAAATTTTTAATTGTTTCATATATTGACAATCGATTATATAAAAAAAGAATAATTAAATACTTAAAAATCAACTATAAAATACTATTATTAATTTTTTAGCTTGTCACTCCGACACAAGACTTTTTTTTATAAGTCACATCTATCACTGTTAGACATTTGTGGCTTCGTCAACTTATGGACGTCAAACTGTACATTCCCGGTCATAAAAACCCAATTGCGGCTATCACATCAGGTCATTACTGATTGGTCATCATTTTGCCGAGAAGTCACATATGACGCAATGGTGATCAGAAAAGTTAAATTGGGAGGATATGGCCACACGGTTGAGATTGACGAATCAAAATTTGGGCGTCGAAAACACCATAGAGGTCACAGGGTTGAGGGACAGTGGGTATTCGGGGGCTATGAAAGGGAAACTGGCAATGTTGTCCCGGTTGAAAAGCGTGACGCCACAACCCTACTACACGTCATAAAAGAGTGGATCAAGCCCGGAACAACCATAATCTCCGATTGTTGGAAGGTATGCTTGAATATTGCATATAGTATTATTAATATAAATTGAAAAAATAATTTTATTTTAGGCTTACAACACCTTAAACAATGAAGGCTATGTCCACATGACGGTCAACCATAGACTCCATTTCAAGGACCCGGAAACTGGAGTGCACTCAAATTCCATTGAGACTTCCTGGAGACACGCCAAGGCATCAATGTCCAATTATTGCCGGAAAAAAAAAATTTTCCCGGGATACTTGGCCAAACACATGTCTACCAAACACTGTCGGATCTACAATTTAGATCCGACAGCTGAGTTTTTCAAAAACGCCGGTACACTGTACCATAAAGAAAACGAAAATGTTATATTTAATGACGGCCACGGCGGTGACGACGACGGCAACGACGACGACGACGAGTGAAGTCCAAAAATGTTTATTCTTATATAATGTATAAGAATTGTAGTTGATAGTGAATAAAAATTAAAATAGTAGAAAAAATTTGTTGTGCATAGGAAGTGCACAATCTGTTTTCATATAATCTGTGGCGTTACTGCGCATGCGCTGGGACTTGTGATTATTCGCGTGTATGGGAAGTGATGCCTTGCTAGCGGCACTCGTCGCTACGCTCCTCGGCGCCGTCGCTCCGCTCCGCAAATCGATAATATCCCTCGACTTGCTGTGCAACACCACCTTAAGTAGGTCACAGGGTAAGTTATGTCGTAGTATGGGCAGTGATGCTTTGCTAGCATCAATCTTCATGATAGGCACAGTGAACTTAAAATAGCGAACTTCATTCGCCGATAACTTCGAAACTAAGTCCGAGCCCCAAATTCTGACTTCTCCATCGTTTTCAGCGTACTTACCTACATATATTTCAATTACAAAAATCGCAAAAAAAAAAGGTGTCCGGTAAAGTAGAAATATACCTATAATCTATTTCTAACACATTTCATTAGATGCGGAGTATCAGAAAAAGCAAAAAACCGTCTATTCTCATCACAAAAGTGTTCAATACTAGAAACAGGACTATTCAATTTGCCACTTATACCAAATTCAGTCCATACACGACGATTTGTCTGTGCTCCATCAGATACAAATCCATGATCCAGATCTCTCGAGTAATAAAACTGCTTTTACTATCAATTTTGATAGTGTTAATCCATTTACAGGGCCTTTAGAAGCAAACACTGCTATTGGTTGAGTATATGAGTCTGCTAAAGGTTGAAACATAAATACCAATCCGTGTGTAGCTTTTGAATTAATATTTGTTGCTTTAGGTAAATCTTTTAGTTCTTCGTCTTCTTCTCCAAAATCAATTAAACCAGTATAACTTAATGTTTTAGAATTTACAGAAACACTCTCTCTTAAAGATATTTCATCAAAAATTAAAAGTCCATGTTTTTGATGGTCTTTTTTGAGAGACAAATGCTTTTTAAATAATTCAAAGAAGCATTTATCAAACCCACATGTACCTGAAATCACAGCTAAATATCTCCTTATCGTTCTGATACATGGTAATGGCAATAATTGGTTACTTTGTAAAAAGTTATAGCCTGCTGGTGATCTTATGTGTAAAAGCATACATAACATAACCCAATCTTCGGTGTAATGATTACCTCTAGGACACTTTTTTTTTTGAAGAACTGATTATTTCTTGTATAATTATTTTTTGATTTTCTGAAATTTTGTTTCCTAGGTTCTCTAATACAATGTTACTATCTATGTCATTAAATTTTGTTTCATATTGTAAAATGTTTTGTTTCAATTTTTTAAGTTGAATTTGAGCTCTTTTTTACGATTGTTTACAGATCTTGTTTTGCTGTTTAAGGAGTTTTAGTTTTTCTGTCTTAGATGGAGTAACATTAATGTGTATTCGTTTTTGACTTAATTTAGTTTTTCGTGCCATTAAATTTCTTTGTTTTTTTTGTTACATGTACTTATTAATGTAACACAAAATTTGCATTTTTCTGATTTAGAATTATTATTTGAAGATGTTTTTATTACAAATAAACATTTTGAATGATGAAATATACTATTACAATCAGTATATCCAGTATTTGGCTTGTATTTAACCAATTCATTTGGAATAAAAGTACCTGAACATAAAGTGGTATTGGCTAAATTTAATATTACATTTTCTACAATACGAGGGTCTAATATAATATTCGAATTTAGCTCTAATTTTTTATGTCAATTTCAATGTTATTCAAGCACTTGCATGTTATTTTTGCATCTTCATCAATAATAATGGATCTTTCAAAATACGGAGTTAAATCTTCTTTTAATAAAACCCTACAGAATATTACACTTTTTTATTACTTGGAATTATTCTATGCCAATCTGATGGTAAATTAACTAATTTTGAATCTGAATAAATTTGTCTGAAAACAGCATTAGCTGTATCATCAGACTCTATTTCAAAACCAAAACATATTTTCTTGGTTGGGTGAACCGGAATACATTGAAGCCTTTTGTTATGATATTGCTTCTAAATAAAAAAAATATAAATCTATGTACTCATCATTTAAATATGTACTGTCGTGTATTAATTGGGGATATTTGCCTGTTCAAAGTTGTTTTCTTTTATAAAATATGATGCGGATAAGATAGGTGAAAGTGGTAAAGCTAAAACTTCATCAGAATCTGTAGAATTTAACATTCCAGGAAGTATAGGCATATAGCTCCACGTTTTAAATATTTCTAAATATTAATGAGATAAAAATATTTTTTTTTAGGTTTATAAGTTATAACTAATAATAATAATAAAAAAAAAAGTTTTAGACAAAAGTATAAATTTTAATGAATTGAATCTCATTCAATTTTAGATGCTAAATGTAAGTGAAATTAACTAAAAGTGTGTTAATGTAACCAATAAAAAACTTTTCAGAAAAATTAAAAAATTCCATCTTAAGATGGCCTAACTCCCTCATGAAAAGAATAGAAAAAATAATTATAAACAGCCTCCAGTACACAGAAGAACTCTACAAAGTCAACATTCCCAACACTCTAGACGCAGCACTCGGACCGAATGCAGACACTACCTAGGTACACAATTTTAACTTTTTTAAGAAAATCTGAATTGTTTGATTTAATTTAATTAATATAATTAAGAATATACATTAAAAAAAATAATTGTAACTATTATAACATCAACAACTAATGGCCATTATCGTCGATGTTTTGTTTAAGAAAGATTAAAAAAAACTTCTAAAAATGTTATGTTGAATATTGTTAAATTGTTATAATATAACTACTGGTATAATATATTATGTTCATTTTTGCTTACTTTTGCTGTTCTATTAGATTTTATATCCATAATATCTACTGTTTTAATAGATTCTTCTGAAAAATGTGACTTGCATAATCTACACCGAAAAAAAAATCACAATCATATTGATAAAAAACTATGTTAGATTGACAATAATCTTGTTAATATAGAGCCAACAAGATTTTTGTATCAATTTAACAATACTATTGTTGCACCTTCTGATAATGTCAAATCAATCAATAAGCATTGTTGATTTGACAATTGTCTTGTCAATATAGAACCAACAAGATTTTTTTATCAATATGACAATACCTGTTTCAACTACTGAAATTGTTGAATCAATCAATAAAAATGATTGCTTTGACAATTAGTATAATTAATTGTATAAATCATGATTGTTACCATAATTCAAAACATTGTTGGATTATTATTATTGAATCAACAATAATATTATATATTGCTGTTTTTAGAATTCTAAAAACAGTTGTTCAAATAGTTGTTTTACTTATTAGTTATTGTTAATAATTAGGAATTAGGATTAAATTGTGTTACATTTTAATTGTATTTCACACCATTATTTTAATTTAAAATATATACCTACTAACACTATTTAGTGCATTGTATATAAACAATAAATATTGGCCTGAGTGCATTGAGTACAACACTATTAAGCATGTTACAAGGAATTATAATTATTTAAAGTTTAATGCTTTTCCCCAGCTTAATATAATTAATAATATTACATATTATTATGTACATTGAACACTGTATGGTATATATTATATTGTATAAAAATAAAACCATTTAAAGAATAATACATTACTCTAAAGTGACTTGAATAATAATTGCTTGTACATGCTTTAGCTTTAAATTAACAGGAATAAGGTAAAATCAAAAACAAGATTAAATTTGCTGCATTAAAAAATTGTGTATTTGAAATTTTTTGTACAGTTAAAAAAGTTAAAAATTCATATTATTAATTGTTTAAATCTGACATTATTTGTCCAAGAGTGTGGCATGGAACATCAAACTTAGTATTGATGGAAAAAAAAAAATTTTGAATAAACAACCAAACTAAAACTGACTGTGGTGGATATTCTAAATTAAATAGATGAAACAATTTAAATGTTACATCTATGGCATGTAAAATGGAAAAAACTTTATATTTTATAGAGTCAAAATATACAATAATTTCTTGTGGGTTCATAGGAGTACCAACTACCATAATAAAAGGCTGTATTGGAGATTTTTCGCTACGACGGATATTAATGTATTCTTCTATTTCACAAACTGAGTTTTTAAATACAATGAAGCTATTCTGTGAATCTTTGATTGAATATTTTGTCTGATTTTTTTTGCCTGTGTGATCCCTTGTGACTTTTATCGATGTTGGTATAAAGATTGCATGTAATAAATAAAATATAATCGTGTTCTTCCCATCTGAAATATTTAAATTTATTTTTAACATAAAAATAATATAATTATATTTTAAATTGTACAGTACAAAATTTATAGGTAGTGATAGTATAATTACCATCTATCTAGTCACTACAAAATAAGATTAAAGTAGTTTTACTACAATTTACTAAAATGTATAAAGTATTTAATGGTTACACAACCACAACAATATATGATATACATACTTTATTTATATCAATTGCAAAATGTATGTAGCTGGGTAAATTAATAATAGATAAAATAAATTGTAATTACAATATTTTAATCTTATTAATTTATAGTGACTAGATTGTACCAATATATAGGGTATAACAATGTTATTGTCTGTTATTAATTTTATCAATTATATTTATATGCTATTTAGTATTCGTTAAATTAATACTTAAGTCCTAAATCATTATTCTATAGCCACTATTAGCACTACATTTTCTATAAAATAAAATTGTTTATACTTTGGCTTATATCTGCAGTTGGCTCGTTCAAACTTTCAAATAACCGTCGGCTTAAAGTGTCCTTTATTTTTTCATCCAATAAGTTTATGATTTTTTCTGATTTTTCTTCAAATGTAGAAATTAGATTAGAGCAACTGGGATACATTGTGTTAAAATCTATGTCAACCTGAAAATATTATTTTAATTGTTAAGTTATAAATAATGTAGAACTATAGCAAATTACTATATTTAATATTTTTAAATTAAAATAAAGTAAAAATTACTAGTCTGTATCCTAAAGGTAATTTATAGTTGCTCCAGTTGTTAAGTATATCATGAGTAGAGGTTGAAGTTTTTTAAACGGAACTGTGTTGTTGCTTTCCAGTTATATTCTAAGTCAGGGAAAGAACAATTATTATCGTGTTTAATTTGTTCAAGAATATACTGTACATCATTTTCTGGTTCTGCAACATACCAATTCAATAAAGATAAGTATCATAATTTTAACAATTTTTTAAATATTAAATCTGAATAACATACCAAAATGTAAATCGTGTTTGCGATTAATTGGATTGGTTGGTCGTTTTGTATGATTGCTAGAGGGTATTAGACCACTGTTTTTCAAAGTTCGCATAGAGTTGTAATATTTAGCATACAGCTTACCCTTTGGATTTTTGTTTGTATCATATTTTAAAAAATATGAATCCTAAAAAGTTAGAAAAAATGAGTAAAATAGAATAAATATAATAATAAATAAAAATACTAACTTTTACTTCTGTTGGAAATATATCAGCAATTTGATCAGCAATACTATTAGCGAGGGCAACAGACATGGATATTTTCTTAGTTATGACATAATTGATAATAGTATCGACCAACAATGTTCTTATATTGTCATTAAATTTGTGATTTGTCTTATAATAGTCATTGATCATTAATCCAGTTGAGCACTCATTTAAAATTTCTCCAAGATTTATAGATATGGCTGAAGAAAGTTTTTCTTGAGAAAGTTTTTTGTCCAAAGTAGTTGGAAGCAGTGATGTCATAGAAGATGATTTTTTTGAATTTTGCCACTTTTCTAAGTTATTAGAAAATAATATTTTAATGCCAAGTGGGTAATTTTTCAAAAGTTCATTAGTGTGATAGTCAACTTTCATAATTGCCAAAATTTTCAAGTCAATTAGTTCATCTGAAATAAGTTAAGTTAATGTAAGCAAACTTGTTTTATAATTGTGATTGGAATCGCAATATAAGTGAATTATTATATTACCAAGTAAAGTTTGATAAGTACATTCCAAATTCCACTCTTTTAGTAAATCGTGCAAAGGTTGTAAGTCTTCAACTGGATATACGTAATCTTGCAGAAATGGCATAACTATTGTTGAAGACTGTAAATTAAAAATGTTATTAAGGGATTAGTTAAAAGCTGGATAATAATTTATTTTAAAATGGCTATTTTTTAAGACAAGTTACAAGTGTTTATAAAATTATTTTGTAAGTGGATATATTATAATACTTGCAGCATTATCAGTATTAATAAAAGCATCAACACAATTCAAATCATCAGAACAATTCATATCGCCAGCAGAGTTCAAAGCTTCAACACAATTTGATTCAACAGCATAATGTGAATTTATATATGTTTCTGTTGGTCCATCCATTATTATTTTACTTGAAATTATACTGTAATCTAATAAATGCTAAAATACTAATTAAAGATTTAAAAAAAATAATATATACAAATATGAAAATAACGTTATTATATACATAGAATTACGGTTGAAAAATATAAATTATTAAAAAAATTCTTTTAGACGGATCATTAATCTGCCTGATGAAGTTGGTGTAATGTTAATAGGGGGTCCACTGAATTCTTCTATTTTAAAAATCAAACAATTATTTACAATAGTTCTGCCTTTATCAACTTCGAATGATTCAAGATGTGAATTAAAGTTTTCTATTTTAATCTGTTTAACTAGTACATAGATTATTAAAATGGGATTATCAATAACCACTAATTCTAATATCTCAAATAAATTAATTTCTTCAATAAATGTTGTTAAATAATATCCTCTTTTGTAAACTGTCCCCATGAACTCTATTTGATTGTAACAAGAAAAAAAAGATGTTCCATTTGTGGTAAGAGAAATTTTGGTAAGTATAGTATTTGAATATAAGCTGCTTATACAATGTTTTTGTTTCAATACAGTGTGCAGAGTATTAATAGGTTGTAGTAAAATGTAAGCAAATTTATATTGAAATTTTTTTGCTAATGTCAAAGTAATATTTTTCCGTGATGATGTGGTACGTGCATAAGCTTTAAGTTCCTTGTGTTTCCCCTCAAAGCGAAAGCACCAATAATGTCTTGGAGGTCCTGCATGTCGAATAATATTGGGATAATGCGTTAAGAAATGATGCTTAGGTTTTAATGTATCATTAAATAGCCTTATATACATAGAGTTATGCTGATGTATTAGTTGTTTAAGATATTCAATTTTGCTTTCAGTAAACTTGTATGATAGAAGCATATCAATTATCTTAACAAGTGTTAAATAAAATTTCCAAACTTCATCATTTTCAGGAATAAATTCTCCAACCATGATAGAAAAAAAGTGAACAAATGTCATCATTTCTCTAGCTGACATCTTTAAATGGCATTTGTTTAAATGTTGTTCAGTAATTTCAGGAGATATATTACCAACTTCAATTGGTCCATAATTAAAATTAGTTTTTTGTTTATTTAAAGTGTACAAAGAAATAATCTGTGCCGTGTTAGTATAATATTTAATAATGTGACACATATCATAATGACATATGCCTTCAAAGATATCGTGCATAATATCTACACAATAATTTTCTACGACATGGAAATGTTCAATACAGTTTAAAATTGAGTTTTTATAAATTCCAGTCTCACTGAAATTCATTTGGGCTACATCTTCTAAGTAGTTATTAGTATTACGCATAGATGAGCCATCTTCTTCACAAAGCTTATTTGCAATATTTTTATGAGTCTTACAAAACCGGCAATAATAATTGGAAGAAAATGACTTACTGAATTCAAGTATACTGTTGAGCCCCAAGTTGTCCCCCAAAATTAATCCAAGAATAAAATAAACTTTAAAGTCACCAAGTTCTGTTGTAATAATTATTCCTTCATTAGCAAGATAATTAATTTCATCAATTATTTGCAATAAACATGGATCATTTCCGAATTCTTTAAAATCAGCTGATTTAATTAATGCAGCTAGAAATATATTTGATAGCTTAGAATTATTTTCAATAAGAGGAAAAATATAGTAAATGGCTGCAATAGATTGATACGTCGCATGAGATCCTAATGGATTATTTATCTCAAAATCATCAATGTACAAAAAGTATGGAAAAACTATTTTTCCTTCATATTGAGATGTTTTTTGTTTCCATAAATTTCCTTGTACAAAATTTGAGAAAGATGTTTTGTCAGTTTGGAAATTAACTAGCCTATCATAACTTGTTTTGAAATTGTTACCATGTTCGAAAAATTGTTTAAATTGGAATTGTAATGGTAAGAGAGCCCCTTTAGTTACTTTTTCGTTATAACAAATCTCACCACTATAAGAAACAGGACACATTTGATTATTAATAGTTATCTGTTGGACTTTGCATAACAAGTTATTGCTTATAAGCCAATTATTTAAGTGATACTCTGTACTGTAAAAACTAAATGGATCTAGTATTAATCCCTCAAGCCTATTAAAAGTAGAAACTAATATAGGTTCTGAAATATTAATTTTGACCATACTTTTAAGAATGGAGGCTATAGGTTTCAAAATATTTTCTGTCATCCCAGACTGAATATAAAGTACATCACTATTATTGAAATTGTTATTATTGTATAAGCTAACAATAAATTTTAAAGTTGATTCATACAATTCTTTTGCAGATTTTCCAAAGTTAAATGTATCTTTAAGTTCATCATAATTATTAATACTATCTGTAGTAGAATATTCTATACTCGGGGCCGTATTAAATATTTCTTGTACACAGTTACCACTTTGTAGACTGGTAGAAGTACAAGGAGATGTTGTAGAAATAACAGCTACATGCTTCTTATTGACATGCCTTTTAAATGATGACAAGCAATTAAATGATTGTGAACAAGCATTTTCCAAACATGTATAAGAACTATCAGGCTTAAGTAAATGAATTAATTTATAATGTACAACTAAAGCTTTCAATTCACCAACAACATCACATTTGCAAATATAACATATCATAATGGATACTTACCTGATTGACAGAAATTAGAAGTTGTCGCAAACTCGCAACTGCCACAGTGCCACAAATGCAATATTTTCAACACACTGAATCCACGAGGAACTATAGGTAAACCTATTCAAACTGCAGTTATTTAACTTAAAAGTCGGTACCGCCACTCGGGAAGTCAAAAGACAAAAGCACAAATCAAATGTCAAAACACTCAAAACAGTAAAACACGTTACGAGTGGTCACTGGGTAATGGACATGGGTTGTAACTTGTAGAAAGTTTATGAGGTTATGAGCTTCATTTTCATTTTAATAATAATGATTATCAAATCAATAATATATTATATTGTTTTTACAAGATATCTTGTTATTCACACAAGATATTATCCAAATGACAATATTGATATTGTCAAACATCAACAATGCCATATTGTTAATACAACCTATGTTATTTTTTGGATAAAATAGCTATTGTTGATTCAATAATAATATTATTAATCATTTTTGCGCCAATCATGATAATTATCATATTGACAATATATTACATTGTTTTTACAAAATATCTTGTTATTCACACAATTTTATTATCCAGGTGACAAGATTAACATTGTTAAACTTCGACAATATCATATTATTAATATTACAAATGATATTTTTTTCGGTGTATCCCCAATTTTTAAAGCTTTACCAATAACTACTCCCCAACTTTCCAACCGATCTTGTGTTACATGAAATGTAGGTACTCCGGTGGTGGTACAATTACATATAGAACATTTACGTGTCATTTTTATAAAGTAGTTAGTACTTTGGTACTTAAGTAGTCACTACTTGTAGACCTTTATAAGGACAATGTGCCAATAACATGGGTCTGTATATTTTGGCGGTATTTTACAGTCATAGGCTCATAGATTTTTACTATGAGCAAAACAATGCCGATAATATTCAATGGATCGTTAAGCCCACAGTCTTAATTAAATTTTTGAAGTCGACAATCATCGAAATAATAATATTTTGGTACTTAGCCGGTAGATGGCGCCACCAGAGCGGGACCCGTCAATAAGAGCTTCATATTCGGGGATCAGTTGCCAGACCTAATAATCTAAGACCGTGTTGTAAACCATTGACATAGGTCAGTGAAGCATATGTGCTCACTCACTCACAATGTGCTGAGACAGCGATAAGATTACTATATAACACCGCCGCACGCGCAGGCACGGGAGTCACGTTGTCGCTGAGTGAATCGTCGAGGACGCCAGGACGGAGGTACTGTGGTCGTACATGTGAAACGTCGATCGTAGTACGGGCTAGGCGATCTGAATTCGCCAAGTGTATTTTATTTGTGTTTGTTTTTTAAATATAATAAAAGTGTTTCCGACCTGAAAACCCGAGTTACAATTATTTAAGTTATTCTTAAGTTCTTACCTTTAATAAGAGCAGCGCTGGGATATACTTACTATGTGTCAATGAGGTTTTATTAAACTGAATAGTGCCAAGGTATATGTAATCTTTGAGTCATTTTACTAGATTGGAAAGAACTTAGGATTGACAAACGCACACCATCGTACCTCCAAGTTAACAGTGTCATTCTAATTAATTTTAGAGAGTGTCATTAGCTAGAGAATACGAGGGTGAGGCGTATAGTAGGTTTACCAAGTATTATCCAATACGGGTGATACGACACTAATAGACGTTTAAAACATTTCATTATCTTCAGTAACATACTGCACATCGCTTACCATATGCATGTATGTAGTTGTTTATTTAACACTTATTTTTCTCAAATAAATTCGTTTCTTTTTTGTACTTTTGTACAACTATGGAAAAATGGTTAAACAAAAAGTGAATGACTCAAAGTCAAGAAGAAATAGAGAAAATATCTGTGGCAACAGTTAAAAAGAGAAAATTAAATTACGAAGAACCTTCAACAAGTTCTTAGGAGTCAAAACAATAAAAAACTTTCAGAAAATATTGTTCTAAATATTTGCAAATTGGATTTCCGTGGAACGGAGACGAAGAACATCCACGACCATAATGTGTTATACTACATCGACATCGATACGAACCAAATTAAGAATAAACCACTAGATTTTTATGAAATAAAACTAGAATCTCTAAAAAAAAAAAGTAATTCCTTGTATTGTGGGTCGTCAAATTTTAAAAATTCTCAAAATGGGTCGTACAATAAAAAGTTTAGCTTCTTCCTGGACAGTTTTCATTGCAGTGGATAGTGCTGTTCGAAACTTAAGTTGGAGCATTGAGCAGTTTCTTGAGGTCTAAGTTTTGGAAGGTTTGGATTTTATTAAGGTTAGATTTTTTTGCATTACCCCATAGCTGGATGCCATATGTCCATACTGGTTTTATTAGGGATTTATAGATAAGTAGTTTTGTATTTAGGTTAATGTGTGTGTTATTATTAGTGAATGTTTTGAGCAAACGAAAACGAGCATTAAGATTTAGACGCTTAGATTTTATATGATGAGCCCAAGTTAACCTACGATCTAGGATTAGACCGAGGTATTTAACCGTTTGAGAATTGGAAATTTGGGAGCCAAAGATGGAGACAGCAGGGCAAGGTAAAAGTCAAAGAGTGAACGTAGTATGCACAGATTTTGTTTGATTAATTATTAACCTCCATTTATAGTTGGTACCCATGATCTTCCATGAGAGATAGATGATTTTGTAGGTAGCTAGAAGCTGTGATGGGATCAGGACTTATGGAAATAATTACCTTATCATCGGCATAGTCAGCGAATTGAGTGTGGGGTGTGATAGGATGGTCTGAGGCATATATATTGTAGAGCAAAGGGGAAAGAATTCCACATTCAAAGAACTGTACATTTATATAATTTCTACTGTAGAACATCTTGAGAAATATGATACAAATCCTGAAACGTCAACCAAAGCGTCGTTATATGTGTGTGCTATAACTAAGAGTGATTTCCTTATCTCTCTGGAAGTAGCTGTTACTTTTAAGATACAATTAAGTCAAGTACTACAAAGTAAACAGCAGGACCTATCTAAAGCTTTAAATGATCTAATGATTGTTAGAGAAGTTTTAGAAGCTATTCGAGAAGATGCTGATAAATCCTTGTAATGAAAATTGAAACGCTGTATGTTATTTTGTAATAATTTTATTCAACGTTTATTTCCATACGTGATTTACAATACAAACAAATTAATATTTGGTTTACAGTATTTAGATTTATACTTTATACTCTTACGAGTGTACATTCAAAAATAGTTTATTCGGGGTTACATAAAATACGGGGGGAAATTTGAACACAAAACTCAAGGTTATGTTTCGGGTTTTCGTGGTGGCTTGCTCTGCGCTGGTGGCGGCGTGCATCCACAGTACGTGACGCGATCAGAGCCATGGTGAACTTGTGTGACAACCAGCGTTGCAACCGTGCATGAACGGCTCGACTATGGCATCAGTAGGGACGCTCGATCGGCGGTGTGCTGGTGGAAAAATAACGTTAGATCGAAATGACAGCGGATGACGTCAGATAGGGATGTGTAAAAAATCACGTCGCTACTACTTTTTCACGGCGACATGTGTGTCACCACTTGTCACTGCGACATAAAAGCAAATTTTATGGTGACTGTGGTGACCTGATAAATATGGGCATGAATGCAGTTGGTTGCACTGTTGCACAGATGATAAATACAAAAACACATTCATTCACAATCAGTCACCAGTCACCATCACGGTCTTAGAAGACCGTGGTCACCATAGTCACTGTTTTCAGTCTTGTAACCATATAGATTCTTAAAATACATTATTAGTTAAGTAACACTGTAACAGTGACCAGTTTAATCGTTTAATCTTACAAAATGCCAAATTTAACAATGATGAGTCAAGAAAATCATAGCGACAGCGAAATACCATGGTAATAAAACAACATTTATTAATTTAATACTTTTTAAATTAAAATATACATGTCAGACATTTACTCATTTCATTAAAACCATACCTATATATTTGATTGAAAAAAATTTATAACAATTTATAGTTATGATTTAAAAACAATATTTGATTGACTTTTGCTGGTTTCAGTCTATTCCGACGTTCATTAAAAACAAATCCAGCTTTTGAAAAAAACCCTTTCACAAAGTACTGATTTTGCCATAGAACAGCACTTTTGTCTTGCCAATATGCTTAAATTTGGGTAGTTATAACCATGCTCCTTCCACCATTTTAATGGATCTCCTGTAATTAATAATAAAGCTTCCCCTATATTAACCTCTATAATGCCTTTCGATGTATTGGTAGCTAGAGGTGCTATTCTTGATGCTGTTGTGTCAAAACTGTTCCAAATACAAAATTCATCCCTTTCAACCAGAGTGTCATTTGTAGGTGTTATTGCTATCTGGTCTTGTAGATTATCTGATTTATTCTTGGTTACTTGAGTTGTTGCATTTATAATGTTATTCTTTGTTTCAGTTGCTGTATTTTCAGACAATGGAAACTGCTTAAATATTGGATCCAAAAAAGTACACCTTGTTAAGAAGTTACTCATTTCCAAGTTAGAAAATCTCTTTTGAAGTCCATTTTGAAGCTCAAATATTACTTGTGTTGTATTAGTATCAAAATTGTTCAAATACATTTTGTCTGTTACATCTTTTAATCCTGTTGAAATATACAATTGATATGTAGTATATGTAGTCAGCCTTGACACGTGTGTACAATTTAGTAACTAGTTATGTACGAGCATAAGACTCACTCTCTTCACGGATGTAACATGACCTCGGTCGTGCATATATATAGGGCCTTTGATGTATGTAATATTCACTTGCACAGGCGTCGTTGTACAGAGCGTATACGATGTGTGTGTACTGTCACAGTTTAATTGTCCAGTTGTACGTTATTATATATTATACTTATACATAATCATATTGTCGTGTTATTACTTATTATATTAATGCTAACATCATTAGTCCGTCAAGCTTCACTTTCAACAGGTTATGGGCCCAGTCAATAACCAAGACATACAGTCTAGTGGATTCGTGATCGAAGTATTTTTATATTTGTATTAACGCAGAAAACTACAACCAGTCGGAGATATCCTGGATTTCGGAAAACGGCGGAACAGTGTACATAGGTAAAGTTTTGTTATAAATTGTTATACAGGTAAGTATAAGGGAAACCATCGGTCATGAAGACACGGTGAAGATAACAAAATTATGTGCGGAAAACTGGTCGTTATGGAAGTTCCAGATGAAGGTCATTCTAAATGCCTTGGAAGTAGGTGAGATAGTTTCAGGTGAATGGACGAAACCAAGTCTACCTATAAAAAAGTCGGCAGGAGAGACCGACAAGGATGCCAAAGCACGTTGGCAAAGGCATACAAACGCTTGGCAAAAAGCGGATGGTAAATGTCAGAAAATAATAGTTACCTCAGTGGACGATGGTCCATTAAAATATTTGATTAACTGTGAGACTGCATTGGAAATGTGGGAGAAACTGCTGAGTATTTACAAGCATAAGTCTGAGGCAAGTTTACATTTGCTTCAACAACAATTTTTCAGTTATTCAAAGGAGTCGACAGATGACATGTCGACGCATATTTCTAAATTGGTCAATTTAGGAAGGAAACTGAGAGTAGCGGGTGAACCAGTTACGGATAACATGGTTATGACAAAAATACTAATGACATTACCAAAAGAGTATAATCATTTTTACAGTGCTTGAGATTCAGTCCCAACGGGAAGTAAAAATATAAATAATTTGACTAGTTGATTGTTGATTGAAGAATCGCGGGTTATCCAGATCAAAGGTGAAGTTGGTGAACAAGAGAAATCGAGTGCATTTCCGGTCAAATTTCAAAACAGATCTGATGGAAGAAACAGCAGTCATAATTATGGGAAAGGTAAAAATCAATTTACTAATAAAAGTAATATTAAGTGTTATTACTGTGGTAAACTAGGTCATTATAAAAGAGACTGTAGAAATTTTCTACATAGTGTACACAGTGGTAAAACCGGTACTATAGAAGCGAACTTGAACGCATTCGTAAGCGAGTCAAGAATAAATAATATTGCAACAGATGAGTGGGTACTAGACTCGGGCGATTCGGATCATATGAGCGCAAATCGAAAGTGGTTTTCAAGTTATGAACCACTGGACAACACTCAACAAATCACTATAGGTGATGGAACAAATCTGTATGCAGCAGGAAGAGGTAATATTAATATATTATCATACGTAAACGGTAATTGGAATAAAAATTACATGGCAAACGTGTTGCACGTGCCGGGACTAAAATTTAATTTATTTTCATGCGGTGTCGCGATGGATAAAGGATTAGTAATGACGTCAGAGAGTAAGACATGTATGTTAACTAAACAGGGGAAACCCGTATGCTGAGGTAAGAGATGCGGAAGGTTGTTTGAGTTAAACATCAAGGTCGAAGTACCGACAAACGGGTACGCGACTGTAGCTGTCGAAAACAGGTTGTCTGTTTGGCACGAGCGCATGGCACATCAGAATTTACAGTACGCAAAAAGTTGTTTGACGAAACACGAAATAGTATGTTCAGCCAAGGACGACGAATTCATGTGCAGCAGTTGTATAATAAGTAAACAAAGTCGTAAATCATTTAGTAAAAGTAATACGGAGTATCACAATGTCGGTGATTTAATTCATGCAGACCTATGTGGACCAATGGAGGTAAGCTCTATAGGCGGTTCAAAATACTTCTTGTTATTCAAAGACGACTACTCGCATTATAGAACGGTATATTTTATTAAAAATAAATATGATGTTAAAAATATTTTTGAGACGTTCATAAAAAGTGTTGAAACAGAAACAGGTTCTAAGGTCAAAATATTACGAACGGATAATGGATTAGAATTCGTAAATAAAGAAATTACGGGTATTTTACAAAAACACGGGATTTGACATCAGTTAACAGTTCCCTACACACCACAGCAAAATGGAAAAGTGGAACGGGAAAATCGTACAATAGTAGAGTAATGATTTGTGCGAAAAATTTGGATGTATCACTTTGGGCGGAGGCGGTAAACACGGCTGTTTACACGCTTAATCGAACAGGAACCAGTTCAGTTAAAAATAACTCACCGTACGAGTTATATTATAAGGTAATGCCAGACGTTAAACACTTACGAGTTTTTGGTACTGTCGTATATACACACATACCAAAGCAAAAACGTAAAAAGTGGGACCCTAAAAGTGAAAAAGGAATATTTGTTGGCTATTCGGATAATACCAAAGGTTATCGTGTGTATTATTCGAAAACAAATAAAATTTCAATGTCTAGAGATATTATATTCGAAAACGAAGGTAATAAATTGGAAAATATAATTGCAGACAAATTAGAATTCACAGATACTCAGACTCAAATCGAGGACGATCCGGTCAAGGTCGAATTGACGACGGTCGACAACAGGAGTGGCATGGTGCTACGTGATCGGAATACATTAAAAGCGCCGATCAGGTATAATGTGTCGTCGTTCGTCGCCAATCTCGTTGAACACCTAAATCGTGATGAAGCGATAGCTGGCCCACAGAAAAACGAGTGGGAGCACGCTATGAGTGATGAAATTACGTCACTACACAAAAACAACACTTGGTCGCTAGTTAATTTGCCTCAGGGCAAGGTTGCATTACGTAACGCATGGGTTTTCAAGACCAAATATAAAAGTGACGGTAATATCGATAAGTTTAAGGCCAGATTGGTCATTAAAGGTTGTTCACAGAAATACGGTATAGATTACCATGAAACATTTTCGCCAGTGGTCAGATACGAATCAATTAGGGCAATATTCGCAGAAGCAGCTGTGGAAAAGTTAATATTACGACAATTCGACATCAAGACAGCATTTCTGTACCGAGAACTACAGGAAGAAATTTACATGGTACAACCACCAGGATACGAAGATGGATCGAATAAAGTATGTAAGCTTCAGCGTAGTTTATATGGCTTAAAACAAAGTCCAAGATGTTGGAATATACGCTTTAATAATTTTTTGAATGCATTTGGTTTACAATGTACCGAAGCGGATGCATGTGTATTCAATGCATATAATAGTAGAATTATTCTGGCAATATTTGTAGACGATGGTTTAATCGCTGCAGACAATGAAGAAATAATAAATAAACTTTTAACAAACTTGGAGAAAGAATTTGAGGTTAAAAAGGAAACTTAGATTATTTCCTAGGTATGCAGGTAAATATAATGAAAAATGGTTCATTATTTGTGCATCAGACAAATTATGCATGTAGCATAATTAATAAATTTAATATGTTGGACGCCAAGGAACTTTCAATACCAATAGACAAATCACATACACTTGAACAAAAAGAAGATAAGGAAATATTGAATGAAGATATTCCTTATAGGCAGGCAGTAGGTAGCTTACTGTTCTTATCACAGGTAACAAGACCAGATATAGCATATGCAGTAAACTTTGCTAGTCGTCACTTAGCAAAACCAACTAAAGCTCATTGGAACTTAGTAAAACGGATTATACGATATATCAAGCGCACATTTAATTATGGCTTGTACTTTAATAACAAAACAAAATTGTCATTAGAAATATTTAGCGATGCAGATTACGCAGGTGACATTCAGACACGACGTTCAACGTCAGGATTTCTATTCAGGTACGGGTCAAGCATAATTTCATGGACATCGCAGAGACAACATAGTGTGTCATTGTCATCGTCAGAGGCTGAATATATTTCGGCCAGTGAAGCTGTAAAAGGGATCATGTATATTACGCGGTTGATAAAAAGCTTATCAAAAACAGGTGATAAACAACCGGTATTATTCATTGATAATCAGAGTGCTATTCGTTTAGTTATGAATCCGGAGTTTCATAAGAGGACAAAACATATAGACGTACGATATCATTTCATACGGGAGAAATACGAAGAAGGACAGTTCCAACTACAGTACATTGGAACAGAGGACCAGATTGCGGACATTCTAACCAAGCCTTTGGTTAAGGAACGATTCGAGAAGTTGCGGTCAGCCATAGGAGTGACTACAATTAATGAGATTATTAATTGAGGGAGGGTGTTGAAATATACAATTAATATGTAGTATATGTAGTCAGCCTTGACACGTGTGTACAATTTAGTAACTAGTTATGTACGAGCATAAAACTCACTCTCTTCACGGATGTAACATGACCTCGGTCGTGCATATATATAGGGCCTTTGATGTATGTAATATTCACTTGCACAGGCGTCGTTGTACAGAGCGTATACGATGTGTGTGTACTGTCACAGTTTAATTGTCCAGTTGTACATTATTATATATTATACTTATACATAATCATATTGTCGTGTTATTACTTATTATATTAATGCTAACATCATTAGTCCGTCAAGCTTCACTTTCAACAAATCCCTTGTATAAAATTATAACCAATGAAGCACCCATATAATTTTCACCACTTACTACTTTGGTTACTTCTTCAAAAGGCTTTAGTACCACACACAATTCTTTGCAAAGTTTCCATTGATCCGGAGAAAGTGTAATTAAATTTGTCTCGAGAATCGCAAGAGTTGCTTTTATTACATTTTCCAACTCAACGAAACGACACAGCATGTAATATGTTGAATTCCAACGTGTAGCTA